TATATATATATAAACGCACAAACACGCACAATATAAGCTCAGATAAAAAGGGAATGTTACTAACTATCTACCTCCTTTTTTTTTTGTTTCTTTTGTTTTTCTTCTATTTCCCTCCTTCTAGTTTAAATTTTCTTTTTTTTTTTTCTTCTTTCCCTCGTATTGTGGCTATTGGGAAAAAAAGAGAAAGAACAATGAAGTAAGAAACAAGAAAGAAGGCATGAAAACACACACACACAGACATATCTACCAGTCTTTACTCATAATAATAATAACAACTATCATAAACAATATTTTATATATTACCAAAAAAAGGAGATATTTCTCTCCATACTTTTTTAAACCTCAGCGGTGCACGTCACTCTTTGTGCGGCTCTTCTTCTCTTCACATCTCACATGTGAGAGAATCCACACATACACACATATACACATACACATACAAGCGGGGGCTCTTCCAGTACCGCAGCTAACCCGATAATGGTGTACTTCTGATGTATACAAAAAAAAAAAACGAAAACGATAAGAATATAAAAAAAATCATTATAAACCCTTGAAAAGAAAAAAAAAAAAAAAGAGCCGTACATACTCAGTAAAAAAAAATAAAAAATAAAAATAAAAAGAGACAGTTTCATTGACCGCATTGGTATTTTAACCATTTCTTCGCACATCTTTTTTATTTTCTTTGGGATCAGATGTATTCTGCACTCTTGTATTGGATGTATTGTGATTAGTTGTGAATGGAGTACCATTGTGTTCAGATGGAGGCATATTCATCGCAGCCCCACCAAAACCAACAGTATTATTAGTATTATTATTATTATTATTATTATTATTATTAACAACACCATGGGTTTCTCCTGGTATGGCATAGCCAAACGGTGTCAAGGGATATTGACTGAACCCTGTCTGTTGTGGATAATAAGATTGTGTTGTTTCTCTCATAGTGAGAGGTTCATTCCTTACCAACATGGGAGGTGCATTAGGGAGCGTATGAGCAGGCATGGTGGAAATAGATGGAAGTATATTCGCATTTGGATACATGGGAAATTGTGTGAAGAGGGTTTGGGACTGTGGAGGCATCATAGATATTGGGAACGGTTGTTGTATAGAGAATGGTAACATTTCCTCTCGTGCTGTTTGTGCATAACGTCCATTAGTTATCATTCCACTCCGATGATTATTATGATGATGATGATTATTATTATTATTATTATGATTATGATTAAATTCTTCATTTCTCCCATGTGTTTGACTGTGGCCTCCACGATGTCGACAACAACAACACCAACAACAGAACCCCATCGCCACAATGGCCGCAAGGAGAAGAACAGCGATAATCACAATAGTGATAAATCCCTTTGACGGTGCGGTGGGGGACTTTCCACTCGAATCGTCCGGCGGATTCACCGGGTGGGAGGCATTACACCAGACAAACACACTACTGAGAGCGTCTTGGTCCACCGCATCGTACCAGCCTTTATCACACTCACAGATATTCTTCTCTGCAATCCACGTACCGTGAACACAGATATCCGACCGGTTAATCATAAAGAAAACATTATTATTATTATTATTATCATACTGATTATTATTATTATTATTATACTGGTTGTAGCTGTATCCCTCATTCCATGGGAATGCGCTTTCCATAATGGACGTTAAATACTGCCACATGCTGTGAAAGAAAATATATCCTTTTTTTTTTACTTTTTTTACTTTTAATAATGTGATGGGAAATAATAATAATAATAATAATAATAATAATAATAATAATAATAATAATAATATTCTGTTTTTCTTCTTCTTATGATGATGTCTAGATATACTCTTAAGATGTATAATAGTAAAAAAAAGAAAAGAAAGAAAAAAGAAGAAAAAGGAAACAATTTATTTTATTCTTTGAATAATATAGTAGTAGTAATAGTATATATATATATGTATATATATAGGGTAAATCTAATCCTATTCCACGAGAGATACTTTCAAAGTATCACCACCTCCAATCAACAAAAAGGAGACGAAAAAGAAAAAAAGACGACCGTCCATGCATAGTCAAAGAAACCAAATACACAAGCGTAAATAAAAATAAAATAAAATGAAATGAATAAATAAAATAAATTATGGGAGAAAATGAAACAACACAACATAACTAAAAAAAAAAAAATCGTTTTTCTTTTTTTTTTGCTTTCCGACCCTTCACGTGACTATTTTTCCTTCATTAACAATTAATAGCTACAAACCCAAAGGAGAAGAAGAAGAAACCACCAAGTCATTTATACGTGAGTATATACATATATATATATATATATACATACGGGAATACGGAACAAACAAACACACAAACGCATTCATACAAAAAAAATAAATAAAATTAATTTTTGTACCCCATCGCAGTCTCAAATAAATAAATTCAATACATACTTATCCAATAACGCACGGACTAATAAATAAAAATAAATCAATTAAATCAACTAAACCATCTAGACAACCAAATGAGAATCACACTTATTTTCTGAAGTCGCCAAGTGAGAGAATCTCGAAGGACCCACACACAACCTCCGGAGACCTCAGAGATTTAAAGGTCCATGAGGATTGGGTTGATGGGCAAAACAAAAAGAAAAAAAAAAAGAAAAAACAAAAACACCTTCTAATTCCAACACAACGTCTCTGCTGGCCATAGAGATTAAAAAAAAAAAAAAAACGGAAAAACAATAATAATAATAATAATAATAATAATAATAATAATAATAATAACCATAATAATAACAAGAAGAAAAAGAGGAAAATAAGTCCAGAGAGGAAAAGTAAAAAAAAAAAAGGAGGTGGTGCCCCCCCAAAAAAAACTCTCCTCTCCTTTCCCTCTTTTCTCTATCTATATAGTCCATTATATTATTTAGTTTTGCACGTTTTTCCTCTTTTTCTTTTTCTTTCTCTATAAGCTCCCTATAAAAAAAAAAAAAAAGAAACGGAAAATGGAAAGAAAAAAAAAAAAAAATAAAGGAAAAAAAAAAGGAAAAATGGTTTCTTTTTATTTATTTTTTTTTTTGTTATCATAAACCTGGGCGATGGAATTTAAATCCCAACCGCACCACTTGTATTTCCGTATCGGAGAGACTCGTCACGGCCTTTGTGAGGACTCGGTGCCAATCATATAAATATAATTCCATTGGCTGAAGTTTTGAACGTCCTTCTGGCAACTCATCCTTCGTGCTGCCAGTTTTGTAAAATATATATTGACAGTAACGATCAATGAATTCAAAACGAGGATGATAATTCGTAATAATACCCGTATCATTATACTGAAAATACCGTAATGGTTGTCCTTCTGGTGTTCGTCGAAATGATACATCTGTTTTCATTCCCTTTTCCAGTTCCTTCACATGTTCAAGTTTCCACTCCACGTTAAAATCAATGGGTGTGCCTGGAGCCACTGTAGTTTTCTCTGGTTCGGGTTCATCATATCCCCCACGTTCCTCCATACGATACCAGGCGTGATCTCTATACATTTCAAGTGCCGTATCTCGCAGGAAACCCGGTTTTTTCTGAGAAGCGTAATAGTGATAGCGTTCTGGATTGCCAGGATAAGATACCACGTAACCAAGAAACATGGATGGACCTGGATTAGATGAGACGAGGCGACCAAGGAATTGAGATTGTAAAAGTCCATCTGCCCAATGTTCGGTATTACCAAAGTGACCCACATAGGTTTGAATGGGAATACCAAATACATCCAATTCAGCATGAATAAGACATGCCAATTCACCTAAAGGAGAAGGCATAATATATCGTTTTACCTGCAGGATTGGATATTTAGATATCATCGCACATCCATACGTATTATCTAATACTGTAGGACCATAACTGGTATAACGGTAACCGAGATGATACGACATATATTCCACCATATCTCTATTACCATTAGTTACATGCATAGAATCACTTTCCAAAAGACCTACAACTCCAGCATTAGTTTTAATAGCTTCTTTTGCCATTCGACTTAAGGAGTCTGTATTAAAATTATCTAGGGCAAAATGGACTGTCCATATCATACCACTAAAGAAAGTCATTTCACTTGCCGCTTCCCATACTTCAGAACGTTGATCCGATGAAAGATGATCAAGGGTAATATTAAATTCCTCTGGTACATCAGAAATCTTATATTTTGTTTTATTGGTTCCTTTAATTACATCTTCAAGTAAAGATCGTTTACTGTTATAATCTTCCTCTGTAAAAGTACGTTCATAACCTTTTAAAAGTGGATCTGTAGCGACATTTCGTATTTTTTCTAAATTTGTTAATGCCTTATGTACAGAAAGGACTTCCATTGGAAGATCAAAGGCTGTTTTTTTCCCTTCTGGAATACTACGATCTGGTGGTTGTAAGGCCTCACGACAAATAATAAAGAAAAAGAATATTAATCCCAATAATATCATCATAAATATTGGCATCCGTCTTTGTTTTTTAGCTGAATTAGATTTAGTTTCCTTCTGTGATATCCCACTTCTCACTCGATAGGCTAAATACCAGGTACATAGAAAGATCCCACATACATTGGAAAAGTGTATAAATACAGAACGTTCACGTAAAATCCATCCCATAGGAACAAATGGATAAGAAACACATGAGGCGTACATAAATACAACCACAAAAGTTGTCAGTGACCAAACAAGTTCAAATGAAATCACACGTGTAGATGTAAATTCCGTAATTGCCTTTGGAGAATCAGATAAGTCTGCAAACGAAATAGCAGAGAGATAACGTACACGTTGTTGTATAAACACAAGTTCCATAATAATTGGATACAAGGCTCCAATAAAGAATGTCATTACAATTCCCCCAGTAAAGGCAATATATTTATTACCAAAGAAATTTGATTCCACTGCCCAATTTCGAATATCAACATTTGCTCTTATACTTTCTGTAGTGGTTGGGTAATGTTCATGTCGAAGTTCATAGGAGCGGTTGGTTTGTCTAGTGGCTAGTAACATAGTTAGACATCCACCCAAAAGTCCAACACCAACACGTAGCCAAGAGGCAATAAAAGAACTATTCCGTTTATTTCCATCTTTTTCTTGAGCCAAAAGAGGCACCACATCTTGTGAGTGGTAAAGACCCAATACAAAAGAAATAATAACAAGTAGATTGGCTGGATATGGATCAATGGCAAGAAGTCGTGGGATATAATTAGAACAGGTGTAGAATGTAAGGGAAACCGTTGTGAGAAGACCAAAAAGTAATCCCAATAGAAACGGTGAGGATGGTGGATATGATGTCACCCATGCTGTAATACTATTAGAAAGACACGGTCGAGAAAAGTGTACCTGTCGAGAGTCATCTGTTCTTATAGATAAATCTTGCATATCCCTGCTATCACTATGAGTACTATTACTAGTATTATTACTATTATTATTATTATTATTATTAGTATTATTATTATTATTAGTATTAGTATTAATAGTAGACGTTGCATCTCCAAACATGACTTGCCTGTATATAAATACAGTGGCAACAATACCCAGAATAATACCAAACAAACCACCATATAAAGGATGTGTAAATACGGGATCTTGTGTGAGAAACAAGACACGTACCAACATAATAGCAGTAAGCGCTAATGGAAAACAATACAATAAACGACGACTATCATCACTACTGTCATTGGTAGATGCATATGGATATAAAAAGCGACAGAAAGTTGCTAATGAGAGAAAAAATGGTCCTACCGCCACTGCCAGAAGTTTTAATCGCTCTGAATGTCGAACAAATAAATGAAAATGCGAAAGAGACGTAAGAAAGTAAAAGAGAATAAACATTGGAATACGTTGTCTTCTCGAGATCATTCCCTCACTACCACTACTACTACTACTTCCTTTTCTTGGAGTTTGAAAACAAGGAATATATCCCAACGCCCAACGACGGAATGGAGCCAAATGAAGTAATATAGGTGAACAGAATGCAAATATACTTACCAACTCCCAAGAAATAGACATCGCTACAAGTGGCATAAAGTACATGTGTTCAACAAGATGCATAATCATTTCCCAGAATAAATAACACCAGTAAATATCCACTAACCACATGGAAGCATTAGATGGAGCACAAAAAGGATTAAATTCATGTACTACTACATTCTTTCTATCTATAGAATCGGTTGATAAAATTCTAAAAGCATATATATTATTATTATTATTATTATAGCTATTTTCGCTTTCATTCTCTTTTTCACTGATATTTAATGGTTCTTCTTCTGTGTTCATACCATTATTTAATTCCTTTGATCCACGATGAGAGTCTCTTGCCTCGGAAGAGGAAGAATGTGTAAATAAGAGTTGACGATAATCCTGTGGGGATGCGCCAAATACCCATGCATCTTTCTTTAATTCATACCAAGCACTCATATCAAATAATATGTTAAAAGAGGCAAAAGACCATTCACACATAGTGGATAAACTGTATGCCCCCGCAGCGCATGTAATCACATGACGAATATAGAAAAACACAAGAAGAAGGGCAGATGTGGTTTGTCCAATCAAACAAATACGTTTTAGACGCTGTGATTTATGTGCATCTTCCTGACTAGCATAAATATTCAGATTATACGTATTTCGTCGAACGATAATGTTAATTACCACCTGCAGAAGAAAACCCAAAAATACATAAAAACCAAATCCAACATTATGTCGTTCTAAATTCTCTGCAGAGGATATCATTGTCCATGTTAAGGCCCCAATCAGTCTACCAAGATCCCATGTAAGCATCATCAGTGTTAAGAAAGCAGTAGATTTAAAGAATGCAATGGGTGAATGCATCATACTCATCATTCCATTTAAAGTCCCACCATTTACACTGTTGATATTTCCACAACCACGCTGCCAAAATACAGAAAAGAGAGAAATTGTCGCTCCCAGTCGAAATGGCGCACACAACACAAAAGCCACTCTCCATATTTGTCGCTCTGGTGGAAAATCACCGCTGAGTGTACTGATGCTGGGCCAATACTCCGCCGTCTCGCAGTGGGTGGAGAGAAGTTCCTTGTGATGTAACCACAATCCCACAAAGAGAGCAAACAACAGACCAGTCCCTACCGTGAGTCCATACGTCACAGCCGCATAGGAGGAAGGGAATACAAATATGTGTTGATTCATCATTCAATTAAAAATAAATAAATAAATAATAAAAAGAAAAGATCTTCTGAAGGGAATAAACACAAGATGAGAGGTTTTCTCCTTCTATGCTACTAAGTGTTAACACTTTTTGGTAATAAATAGGAGAGTAAAAGTTAAATGGAAACCTCCCCGATTTTTTTTTTTTTTCTATTTTGATCCGTTCTTGCTTTTACAATCTTGTTCTGTTTGGTATACGTTTAAGTCTATATTTATATTTATTTATTTATAAATAAATATAAATAATAATTTTTTTTCTTTTTTCTTTTTTTCTTTTTTATATTTTGTTGTTTCTCTTCCAATATGGCTTTACGTTGCTATTAGCGCTCAAATCGCACCTTATAATTACTTACTAGATTTAAACAATAAAGAATAAAAAAGAAGAAGAATAAAGAAGAAGAAAAACACATGGGTTTTAACGACACCTTAAGAAGAAAAAAAAAAAAGAAATAGAAATAGAAATAGAGAGTACTCTCTATTTCAAACAACATGACTATTTCAAATAATATTCACAGAGACACACACATTCAATTCACTCATACTCACAAAACGAAAAAAAAAAAAAAAAAAAAAAAAAAAACGCAATTTCATTCATTCTCATTAATTCATAAATGTAATCTTTTTTTCTTTTTTCTTTTCCACACTCCAGAGGAAAAAGAAAAAATAAAAAAAGCACTAATAATTGCGGTGATGTAGGTGTTCCACCTCCTCCCATTCCTTTCCACTATCACTATTCACATTCGTTGCGTGCCCGGGTGTGGAGAGATACTTCGGCACATGAGCGAGTGGGGTGTCAATGCCCAGGGCGGTCTTTGGATTGGCCTGATACCACTGTTCCTTAAACGGCTCTTGAATGGCCACGTAGCGAAAACAGTCGCGGCCGCCGTAACTCCAAATAAATATTTTGTACGTCCCCACAAGTCCCACAACAGTCGCGAAGGGCCACACCATGCAGATGGCATACACCTCAAAGCGACGTAGCCAGCCAGGAATAGCCATCTAAAAAGAAAAAAAAAAAAGAAAAATGGACCTATATATATATATATATATATATATATATATATACATATATATAAGGATAGGTAAGATCGATAGAAAGAGAAAGAGGTAAGGAAAAAAGGAAAAAAAAACTGCATATTTAATAAACATTATACTCCAGCAAGGACGTTATTGAAAAAAAAAAAGTACTTCTGAGAACCATTCAAAAATTCCTTTTTTTTTTCTTCTTCTTTTTTTTTGTTTTCATACTCCAA